CCCTTCTATGTTATTTCTGCCGTAGTGATCTCGTCCATCCTCTATCCTTCCTACTTTCAAGGAGCCTTATTTTTCTCGAAATCGACGAATTCTCCCGCTTTCTTCACCACCAATGGACTATTACCAATCTACACTTCCGCATTCCAAATAAAAACATGTACCTCAAATTATCATGAACTGGGCCTTTAATGCCGGAAGACTTTATACTTCAGACTTAATTCTCATGTAAACAGTCGACATGGGAATCATTTGATGTACTTGATTTCGGTTTGCAGAGAAGTGTACGTAGTGAAAGATGTAAAAAACTCTACCGCATTCCCTGGCATTGGCATTCTTATCCAATCACTCATGGGACCCGGACCGGCTGTGGTCTGGCATAAAGCGGCAACGTAGAAGACCACTGAAAGTGCTTCATTTCACCTCCAGTAGTAGCTTTGTTCTCATCACAAAATGACGTTAGGTCAAGGTGCGAGTTAATGTACTTGCGAGCGGATTTGAACGAGCTGCAGTGTATATGTCCCTCCCCGAGCAAACCATACATACATATACTCGCTTTTTTCTACCTAGTAGATGTGCCCAGACATCAGTTCGGTTCTAAATAAAATCTTTTCACTTTCGAAAACGGCGACGATGGCAGCCTGTGAGGAAGTTATGCCGTCATGCTCTCTACTGATTTGACTTTTTATTTCTATCTAACCCTATTTTTTTCTCTCGCTTACCCTTTCAATTGATCTTTCCTCCATTAAGCTAACTATGTTCGTGATTGTTTGATTCTTTCCCTCCAATTGTAGATACTTAGCTTGTAATTGAATTTGAAGTTCCTCTTGTATCCTCTGCTTTCTGCTCTGATTTGCTTTTTCCCTTGCAGCCTCTACTCCCGTTCCCCTCATCTTTTTCCCCTCACGTTATTCTGTTCCTCGCCCGGCCAATGGGAGAAATTTTCAGATGATGACAGCATTACCACAAGGCAGTATGAATTAATACGGCGAATACAAAAGGTAGTACAAATCAATACAGCGAATGAAGAAAATGTAAAAATGAAAGCGTGAAAGACAAACTGAAATACAGTGCGTTTCATAATTATAAGGTCACCCTCAAGTTTTGCACTTTCAAAAAAAGCAATCATTAAAGATTTTTTCTAGCGGGTTCATGAACGGGTTCTCCAGCACGAATAATCTAGGTATCCGTTTTTTTA